CTCCTCCTGCTCCTCCTCCTCATGTTCCTCCTGCTCCCCCCCGACCCTGGATGATCCTTCTCTCAGTACGGAGCCCGACTTTTACGCGTCTCTGAAATGCTGGCGAACGAATCGGTCATCCATTTACTTTCAGACGTGCACGGAAGAAGAAATGCACCCGCTGTTTCGCTCCTCCGTTGCTTTCTGGCTCAATCCCAAGCCAGTTCCTTTCGTTAGCGCATGGTACCCTACGTGGGTCCGTGGCGTTGAGCAGGTTATTCTGGAACATCACGGCATAGAGCAGCGATCAGGGCCCAGCCGCGGCACAGGTTGTCGATTTGTTATTGAAGAAGTTCGGCAGTCCACCAAGTCACGCCAGGCCCCGCTACGTGATCAAGTGGTGTGCTGGTGGAAGCGTGTGGCCACGGTTCTGGGTCAAGCCTTGAAGCATCGGTAGCGTAAGAACGGGATTCGTGAGTTAGACAACATTCAGCATATCTGCCGCCAGCTCGTGCACGCTCGGCCTACAGGGGTCCACCGTCTTCTTCGTCCTGGTCGTGACGCAGGGGATAAGAAGTGGGCTACGGTGCTGCTCAACCTAGCATCGCTCGTCGACCCTGTGCTGGAATCGCATCGTGATCAAGCTAGTCGGATCGCACGTAGGGGTCAACGGCGTGTTGTGCATGAGTCACTGTCTGAGTTTCAAGAGTGGGTTGTACAGCAAGCGGCAGTGGGGCCTCTGCACCGCTCCATGAAAGGTGACCCACTGCCGCCGATGGAGTTATTCGAGGTCGAGAGCTCTGGAGTCACGGTCCACCCCAGGGACATCATCGACATCAAGGCTCGGCGGTGGCAGGAGCTTTGGGCTCCGCATCCAGTTGATAAGGATCGCATGCAAAGGGCTCGTGATACAGCTCGGGCCGCCGCAGAGTTGGAACCAATGGAGCCCATCGCGGAGTGGGAGTGGGATGTTCGTAGAGCGGCACACGCCATGAAGGCCAACACTGGCCTTGGAGCAGATCGGATGACACCGATCGACGTGGAGAGGTTGCCGTCGGAGGCGCTGGTAGAGTTGGCCGAGCTGCTCAACACCGTTGAGCAGACGTTGGCGTGGCCGCACCAGACCCAGCTCATCATAGGAAAGTTGCTGCCGAAGAAGGTGAGTGGCGACCGCGTGATCGGGTTGGCGTCGTTTATGGGCCGATTGTGGTCGCTCACTCGTGAAGGCCATGTTCGACAGTGGTGCAACCTTGTGGAGGCGGATTGGGATGCTGCCATTGCGGGCAACGCGTCACCCCGCGAGGGGTTCCATCGGACCCTGCAAGAAGAAGTTGCAGGGACCCTGGGGGCCCCTCACGGACACGGCCTCATGGATGTGAAAGGATTCTGCGACAGTATTGAATGGGATATCTTGACGGATGCGGCATTAAAATAATCGTTTCCCCCAGTCATCCTGTTTTTAGAGCTGTCACAATGTATGGCCCCGAGAGTGGTTGAACAAATGGGAGCTATTAGCGAGCCGTGTTTGGCAACATGTAGTATTATTCAAGGGTTAAGATCTGGAACCCGATTTGCGAAGTGCATGACTCATTATGTGATGGCCAAAATCAGTTGTTCACACCGGCATGTTTCGCATAGACTGTGGGCAGATGACCTTTCGCAAAGTGTAGCTGGTCTCAGACAAATGGTTGTATCATCTTTGTCAGAATGTTTAGCTGACACCGCTGGTGAGTTGAAAAAGGTGAAGTTGCAGATTGCTCATAAGTCCTGCGCGGTCTGCTCCCACCACGGCGACGCGAAGGAGATTGCACGACGTATGCGACGCCGCGGCTACACGCTTCAGGCTCAGCTTCAGGCTGGATCTTTAGGAGTGGACTTGGGCGGGGGACGGAGGATGGCCAGAGAGGTCGGACCTAGCGGGGGCTCAAGCAGAAGAAGATCCATGCGAAGGTGGCACGCTTCGCCAGGGCCTCCAAGCGCTACAAGGTGACGTCCAAGCTTGAGCGACTTGGGGCTCAAGCTGCAGGCGCGCACGGGCAGGCCATTCACGGCACGTATGGGCGGAAGCCCCAGCAGTGTCGTCGCGGGCTTGCATCAGTAAGCAGTGCAAGGGGTAAAGGTATTTGTACCACGTCGCTTCTGCCGGTTCGAGCTCCAGGCCAGGATCCAGGTGTCAAATGTCCTCATGATGTTATAGCGCTGTGGCTGCAGCAATGGTTCTCTTGCCCGCGCATCCGCCCTTCGGCGCGCCGAGCGTGGCCGAAGGTGCTACAACGGATGGAGGCCATGCCCCCGCCTCGGCGATCCAGGTGGGCAAGAGGTCCGATGTCAGCAGTCATCTTTACCTTGTTGGAACGCGGTTGGCACCCCGAGACTCCCACCAAGTGGCACCTGTCATATGAGATCGCGTGGGAATTTCCAGAAGAAATGCATCATGATCAGCAAGCACTTAATAATGTCAAGGCCTTCTTCGATGACTTTGATCCGTCAGCGGCGGTTCAGTACTGGCAGCAGGCTTCTCGACATGTCTGTGGCAGTGGCTTGCAAGATGGAGTGGGCAACGTTTCTCTGGGATGGCTGCTCAAATATCTTGAAGTCCTACCTCGTGGACGGGGGCGAGCGGAGGCCATGGTCTCCATCAGTGCTGGTGGCTCATGGCCGCGGGAGCGGCGCGCCGCCGCCATAGCCAAGACGGATATCTGCCCGATCTGCCCCCGATGTCGGAAAGATGTTGAATCGGCATATCACCGCAGCT